ATAAACTTACAATCTCAACAATAGGATACAGCATTTTATGATCTCCAGATCCTTGGCAACACTTTCTATTGTCTATTTCCTTGTTTTAATCATTCTGGTGGCTATAAAGTGGTATTACATTTTTCTTAGTTTGTGTATCCCTGATCACCAATGAGATTGCCATCTTCTTTACATATTTATTGGCTTCTTGGTTATCTTTTATGAAGTCTCGCCCATTTTTCTGATTGTCGTTTATTTTATAGAGGTTATTAATGTATATTGCTGATTTTTGTTAGATATCTGTACTTCAAGTATCACATATGTAGCTTGTATTTGTACTCACTTAATGGTGTCTTTTGAACTATTAAGTATTACTATAATGAAATTTATCAATCTTTTGTGCTAATGCATTTTTCCCTCTGTTCAAGAATCCTTTTGGATATAATGGATATATTACTTTACATTAATTTCTGGAATTTTTATTGTTCATATTTTATATTTATAAGCCATTCGGTATTGATTTTTGTATAAGATAATTTATTTTTCATGTATATTTAAATTGACTTAGAGTGCTTATTGAAGAGACCTCTCACTCTGCAGTACTGCAGTGCCAACAGGGCATAAATCAAGTGTTAAGATAGACATGGATAATTTTCATTGATTTGGTCTAAAGCTACAGTCAGTGAAAACCAGTCTTTTTCTTCTTCTTGGACATTGTTTTGTCCATTTTTGTCCTTTTGCAATTTTATAAAAATTTTATATTCAGCTTCTCTCTCTCTCTCTCTTAGCTTTCTTTCTCACTCCTCCTCACACACACACACAAAAAACCCCTGAAGCTATAAATCAATTAGAGAAGAATTTATATCTTTATGACACTGAGTCTTTCAATCAAGAAGCATGATGCACTTGTTCATTTATTTAATCTTTTTGTTATTTTACTCAAACAAGTTTTATAGACTTTCATATAGAGGTCTTTCACATCTTTATTCTTAGGCATTTTATACTTTAATTACAGATAATATATTTTTAATTCCACTTATTCAGACTTGGTTGCTGGTATATACATATCTGATTAATTTTTGAACATCGTGCTATAGCACTAATAAATAACTTAATTTTAGTAATTTATCCCATATTCTTTTGGATTTTCTACATACATATTCAAATCGTCTTTAATTCATAATTTTTATCTTATTCTTTCCAGTTTTTAACTATTTTAGATTATTTGTAGTCTTGTTGAGCCACATTGTTTAGCACCTCCATTTAAATACAAGTGGTAACAGCTTGTAGCCCTTAGACAGCCTTTAAAAATACTTATCTTGTCAATAAATATGATGATTGCTGTAGGTTTCTGAAAATACCGTTGTGAGATTGAAAACTGTTCCTTTACTTCTATTTTGCTTATTTACTTCTAGTTTTTTTGTTTTTATTTTTAAGACTGCATGTTGGCTTTTATCTAACCCTTTTCCACATGTAACAAGGTGATTATAGGATTTTATTCCTTTGTATTGTTAATGTAGTAAATTCCAGTGGTTGATTTTTGAATGGCAAAGCAACCATTTTTTCATATAATAAACCCATCATGCTTATTTATTTGTTGCAATTTTTACTTTGCTGATTTAAGTCTTTTCTATATACAATCATATGAAGTATTGGCCTGTAATTTTCCTTTCTTAGAATGATCTTTCAAGTTTTTGTGCTTATCAAAGTTCTGCTTTCTCTATAAAATGTATGGAGTAATGTGTAAAATTAGAGTTAATTTTACTGAAACATATATTAGATTTTTCTAGTAAAGCCACTGGCCTTGAATTTTTTAATGGGTAAGTTTTAACTGTGGATTCAAAGTCTTTAAAATTTGTAAGATTATTCAAATTTTCTATTCTTTTGGTGGCAATTTTTATAGAAATTTGGCCACATCATCTTGATTTTCAAATAATTGGCATAAAATTGTACATAAAAACTTCCATTTTTTACCCTCCTAATGTTTATAAAATCTGTAACAAACCGTTCTTTTTATTCCTATTATTGTCTTTTGCCTTTATTTATTTTCATGATCAATGTAAATAGCTTTTAATAGGACTTTTCGAATGATCAAACTTTGTTAGTTCAACTGTCTCTTTTGTATTTTTGTCTATTTTATTAATTTTTGTTCTTATATTTATTCTTTTCTACCTTCTATGTTCTTTAGGTTGACCTTGATTTTTTTAAACTTGAAATTAATGAGCTCATTCATTTCCAGCCTTCTTTTATTACACATTATAGGCTATGAATTTTCCTCTAAATACAAATTCAGTGGCATTCCGTTAGCTACTAAAATATAAAGTTTTGGTGTGAAGTATTTTTATTATTATCAATTTCAAAATATTTTTATTTCTCTTGTATTTTTCTTTACCCATATCTTAATAGACTTGTGATTATTGATATCCAAGCATATGAGGATTTTCTGATTTTCTTAGTCCTTTTTCCACTTAGCATGCTCTGGCCTTAATTTTTATAGCCACTTAACCTTTGAAGGCTTTCAAAAGTATTGTTCAGCTTCTTAGTCTCTTGGCTTCCTCATGTGAAATTGGCCTTTATCCCTCTGGGAAAAGTAGTTCTAAATATCAGGTCACATTTATGGGTTACTTTTTTCTTCAAGATCTTGGTCTTCTAATTTTTAACTTCCTCTTTAGCTCTCAAATGCATTATATATTCAATTTTTCTTGTTGCTGTCAGTAGGAGGATTGCTTAGAATTATCAAAATTGGAAGCCAAGATTCCCATTTCTTCCAGAATTTGATTTCTAAATTCAGATAAAATTATCATTTTATTCAGGTTCTACAAGAATATTGTAATTACCCAAAGTGTAAAGTACATGCCATGGGTGAAGGGTGAAGAAAACTCAGTAAATATTCTTCCATATGAGTCATAACAACTATATTAAAGATTGAAACTTTATGAAACAAACTTTATAGTCATTAATTTTTGTTCCACTTTTCTTATTCATATTAACATTTTTTAGTCTTTAGCTATCATCTTGTCCATATTTTATTTTTTCAATTAGTCCTTTTATCTAGGAAGTCACCGTGTAGATTTTAAAATATTTTCTTTTGCTTTTATCTTTTAAAAATTGTGTGAATATTGGCTTTGAAGAAGAGAGTATCTGAAATGCATTATAACTGCTTTTGAAAAATGTGTATCATATGCTAGCAGTTAGCCTGTTCTGAGTATATTACATCAGGAAAACAGCTCAGGACATAACCAAAGTGCATACATATTTGGACTACATTGTAAATTTAGATATTACACAGTAGGAAATAATGATTGTCATAAAAATCTGATATTATAATTAATCAAGCCCTGTTAAGTCACTCACATATTGATGGACCTAGGCAAATCTAATATTATGTGTCTAATATATTTTTCTTATTAGCATAGACTAATTTCTTATTTAGACTATTAATTTCATATAAAACATATATTCATTCAACAAATATTTACCCACTAAATATGGGACAGAAATTGTTTCTATATCAGAAACTATATTATAAGGGAGAAAAATAAAAATATATAAAATGTGATAAATTATAATTTTTTAAAGATAAGAAGATTGAGAGTGTGGAGTTGTAGGGAGTTACTTTTGATATAATGGTAATAAAGTGTTTGTGGAGAAGTATCATCTGAGCAAAAACTTCAATAAGTTAAAGGAAAATGCCATTTTTTAAATTAAATAGAGAATTTCTGGTATAAAAAAATTGCAAGTATGAGGGCCCTAGGACAGAAACCATTGTAGAAGAAATTGTAAGAATTTTATCAAGAGAGTGGGATGAGATAAGGTCCTGAAGTTGACCTGATATTAGGACTTGTAGACACTGATATGTTCAGTAGAGATTTTGGATTTTTTTCTAAGAATGATGGGAACCACTTGAAGTTTTGATCAGGAGAATACTGGGATCTCATTCTCATTTTTAAAGTGTACCATGGTGATAGAATTAGGATTGGTAGTGCCTAGGATATAAACAGGTAAGCCATGAGAGTGGCTCAGCAGTACAGTTAAAGAAGAGGAGATAGCACTGGGAGTGATGAGATAACATAGGATTTGTATGTAATTTGAAGGTGAATGTGACTGACCTTGTTCCAGGATGGGATGTCACTGGGTTGGAAAATTCCTAAGTATCTGATCTGAGAAATAAAGCGAAGACCATTGTAATTCCCTGAGAAAAGTGTGGACCAGGGTGTTAATTTAGGAGTGAAAACAAGTGTTTTGCTTTAAATGTGATAAGTCTGAAATGCCCATTAGATTCTGAGTGGAAATCATGTAGATTTATCTATAGATTTCTAGAGAGAGTGGAGCTTGAAATATAAAGCTGAGAGTTATGGAAGTATACTGTGGGTGATATTCAAACTCAGGGAATTTGAGATTAGCTGGAGTGGAGAAAAGAGAAGCAACCTAGAGACCAAGTCCAAGGTCACTCCAACATTCAAAAGATGGAGAGGAAGATTCTACAAGATTGTAAAGAGTGGCTAGTCAATCAAGAAAACAAAACGTGTGATGATGCTAAAGCCAATGGTAATATATGTGATCTCAAGGTCATTACTAACCTGTGATTCTAGGGAACTTAACAAAAAAGTCTTCAATATTACCTATTAAACTAGAAATATGAAAAAGTTGTATTAAACAGAAGCATAATAACAATGAGCATAAAAATATCACTTAACTAGTGAATAATTAAGCCCTTGGAAATAAAATGTATATCTCTGGTTATAATAACACTATAATTATTTTTAGGGTTGAACAAAAAGGTGAAATAAATATTATTTAAATATATTATACTATCCTTTTTGACTGGGTCTCACATAGTCTCATAAAAGAGAGTTAAATATAAAGTAGTGAACATAAGCAAAATATAGAGATCTATGCTGGTGTTATATATAAATATTTCTCACTACTTAAGAATTAACTTGGTTTTGAACATGTATAACTTCAGGATTCTCAATAAATACATGTTGATGTTCTTTTATTCTCATTGATTCTCTCCACAGGTGGGGAGGTCCCATACACAACTCTGGCTACTCGAATGATGATGGGGGCTTGGTGGCTCTTTGCTTTGATCGTCATCTCATCTTACACAGCAAACCTTGCTGCTTTCCTCACTATCACCCGCATTGAAAGCTCCATCCAGTAAGTAGACAGAGATTCCCGCAGCTACAAAGCATGAGAAATGACAGGAGTGCGTAAGCTATTTAAATAAGTATATGGTTTCTAATAATGAATTTATGATTTTCCTTTGAGTAAATGCTTAATGTTCTGATATACAGATATTACTAGATAGTCCAACTCCTGAAAATACGGTATCGATTGAGCATTTTTTTAAATGAATAATTCTGGGAATAATTTGAACATTGCTTCCCACATTTTCCTGGAAGGGTAACACATATTCAGAATTTTAACCTCCACAGTGTATGACTGTGTCTGGGCAGCATTGTAAAAAAGGGAAAAGGAGTCATACTAAATATATATAATTCAAATTTGACACTATCAGTCCTTTCCTTGAGCCTGTTGCATTATTCACACTCTGTAAATAGACAGATGATGAGTAGGGAGAAAAATGGCAAGAGCAGTGAGGGAGAGATGGAGAAAGAAGGAGAGAGAGAAGCTGTCCAGAGATACAACTACTCTCTGTTTATCTCTTCACTGCATGATACCTAATGTGATCATCACAGCTGCTGCTTCTCCAGCTGCAGTGGTGGTAGTCATTAACTAGGGTGCACTCACTTAAATCCTAAAAGTTACCCAATTCAGTGCCTCAGTTAACAAATGCCACTCCCCCAAGACCTGAGAGCCCAAAGGCCTTTGATTTATGGTGGCTACTCCTGCTTTTGTGGTTTAATGCCATAATCAGCACCACAATACTTGTACCTTACCAGAACATAATGTTCTATGTATTGTTTTTTTAAATTTCCCTGAAATGTTTTATTCATCCAAAACAAGGTATTCTGAGTGTTCTTAAAGTTGAACAACATTCATTTCTCAACAAAACTGACAATTCAAAGTCAGAATAATTAGACTTATCAAGAAATTCATCAGAGATTTAACTTATCCTTAAAAGAAGATGTTAGCTATTGCCCTTAAAAAGTGTGTAAATGAAGTTTATTAGCCACAAACTATTATATGATAGCACAATACTAAAAACAAATTTGAGAATTATTGATCTATAAAGCACTAAGATATACTTTTCAATTGCTTGTGATATAAAACTGAAACACCAAAATTTAAGTACTAAAGCAATAGACAGTCATTTATTTCATTCAGTTATGAAAATGGTATTTCCAACTTCTCTCATCAAATCATGCTCCTCAAGTTCTATTCCCAATTACCACATATCTTTGGTGCAAAACCTTCATACTCTCTTAGTTTATTACCCTTATAGCCAGTTCTATGTGTGGCATAAGTCATAAAACTGATGACCTCATCAGAATCACATTTTAAGCAATAATCAAAATGATTACAACCACCCAGCCAAAAAAGCAATGAAATTAATAACATTATGAAAACAATAATTACTATTTATTTAACACTCATAAGACTCCAGACGGTGCTAAATGTTTAACAGGCATTGGCTCATTCAATATTTACAGCAATTTTCTGAAATACATATGATTAATAACCCATTTTACAGCTGAAGTTGAAAAGATAAATTGTCCCAAATCCTGCAGCTAATAAATTAAAGATTAGACCTATAATCTTTCCAAGTCTAAAGCCTAACTTTTACACACACCACACCAGTTTTCATCCCACACCCATGTGTGGCCAGTTGTTTTCAGAGGATATCATTAAGGGCATGCCACAGCTTTATCTCTTATTAAGTATAGAGACATAAAAAATTACATTCCTCAAATCCACAATTGGTCTGAGAAAATAAAATACCAAAAATTACGAGAGTTTTCTGTTGGGCCAGTTCTGTAAGTATACATCCCAACGGGAGCAGGTTATATTTGTAATTGATATCTGCAGCTAAGGGTAAGACTGCTCCACAGATCCGATAACAGAAATCCCATTGAGAAAGATAGTTTTAAAATACAGTATTTAATTCATAAATATATTTCATATCAATTATGTTTAACATGTCACATTTTGAGTATACTTAAATCTAAAAACCTATAACTCAGATTTGACTTTGAAACATTTTTAAATAAAGAAAGAAAATTTTAAATAAAATAACTGACTATATACAGCAAATCATAATAATAATTATAATAATCAACAAAAATTATGGCTAAGATTCAATGAGAATTCACTATGAATTTATTAAGCACATTATATATTTTATCTCAATTATTTCTCAAAATAACCATAACAATACAGATAGTATTTTTACTTCCATTTTGCTATTTTTATTTCCATTTTTCAGATGAAGATACAAAAATTGGAAGTTTAAGGCTCAAGATCACACCATCAATAGTTTCAGAGCTGAAAATCACACACACATCAATTCAATACTAGCCCATAACCTTACCCACCCAGTTTTGTTTATATCCAGTTGTTGTTTTTAGAATTTGTTTGTTTGAGTCACTGTTTCACTGAGGCTGCAGACTTCATAGCATGTGTGTGGTGTATGTGAACTCTTTAGTTGTTACAAGCTTTGCCAGCATGAGCTTGTATTTACACATTTATGCAACAGCGGTGAGATCAAAAGCCTCTATTAGGTTTTTATACCCATTAGCTTTGTCTACAAGTAAAATCTAATGGACAAGGATCACAGAGGACACGTGGGCATGGGTAATGGGGAGGACTGACTGGAGGAGTTGGGGGACAGGGTAGGGGTGAGCAATGGGGAAAAAGGCAGGACAACTGTAACTGAACACCAATAATAAAAAAAAGATCATTATTTCATATGATATTTTTCTCGTGTAGTTTCATAGTCCAAAATAACTGAAAATTTATTTTTGAAAACTTCTTTCTACTGCTAACTCATATTGTTAGAAGTCAACAGTTGGTATAAGTTTTCCCATCCTTCTAATCTCATCACTAGACTAATTTTGAAAGGGGAAAATCAGAGCCAAATAAGTTAAAAGAAACCTGATTCTCTTCCAACCTTAAAGATTTCTTCTAATTTCATGCCTCAGCTATTTTGGTAAACATAACTGCTTTTGGTATTTCTTGGAAACATTCAAAGTTCATTTGCAACTAATGCCAAACTTTCTGGGGAAATTCTAAGTCTGATTTTTCTTAGAAAAGGCAAAATCTTTTTTTTACAATACCATCCAGTGTCATGCTTCTGAATCATTTATATTCATAAGACTTGCTCATCACTTAATGAAACAATACATGTCAGGGTGCCTTCTTCTGGGCCAGTTTTGCTCTGCCATCAGCACACATTTACCAATCACATCTTCATCCCCCAAATTCCAAGTCACCTCTGCAGACAAGAAAAGGTAGAGGTAATTAGAGGGACATCAGTGGGAGGGGGAGGAAAGCAGCTATTTTTGAACAGTTGGTTCACAGAAACTCACAGTTTGGTGGGAGCAATTCAATAAATTTATTCTTGGGAAGCTTAGTATATTTTATAAAATGTACCCATTTTTCCAAATTAGATATTTATTGGCATCTAACCTTTTAGTTGGCATTTGTCATTACTAAAATTTTTTAAAGTGAATTTTCCCTGACAAGGATAACTCACAAGTTTAATTTCATATTTCTTAAGTGGTGGTAGCAGCTCAGCACAACCATGACAGAGTGTGACAGTTGGGATGGGGAGTAGTGAGATGCACAGTTCACTTTGAAGGGAAAAATATGCAACTTCTATGACTCTAAGACATTTAAGCTTTTTTATTGTCATTGAACAGTAAGAACATGTTCAATGTCAATACACTATTTTCAAATACCTGGACAATTAAACATACTTTTTTCTGCTGGTAACCCAGCTAAAAGCCGTAATGATGAAATGGAGCATGTAAAGCTTTGAAGGAATTTTCAGAGTAAACATTGGGTAATAATAACATCACCAGTGTTAACTCCATAAGTGTTTGTTGGATGCAAATTCAAAAAACCTATTTATTTCATGCATAAAAGTGAAAATAGCTACAGGGGAAATTATAATTATACAGTTATAGTAATTTATAACTTCAGTAAGATTGATCTTTGGTGGTAAAACTTGAGGTCTTTCATTTCCTAAAGCTATAAGTGAGCTTTAGTCTATTCAAAAGGATTTCAACATTCCACCATACTTTTAAATTTAATGCTATCATTCTCTGTAATGGTTGAAGTTGGACTAAACAAAATATTGAGTTAATGTAGCCACTACATCAAACTAATATAGGTTAAATTTCTTTCCAGACATATGCAAAAAGAGATTCATAAATATTCTGTGTACTGGAGACCAGTTTTTCCCTAATATATCAATAAAGAGAAGAGTTGTGACTGGCAGGTGCTCTCTAATAAAAGGATTTCTACCTTTTTTTGCCCTCATGGAACAGAGTAACGACCTCGAAAGTCAATATTAAAAGAAATCACAGCAATCACACTTTTGGAAATGGAGGCATTCCTAACTATAAAAACTCCTAAATAAATATATTAGCTTCATATATTTAGTTCAACTAATTGCATGTCTATATAAAATTTAAACACTGCGCTATGCATTTAGTCTCTAAAGTTATTCAAGTAGTATCCCTGAGTCACAACCTACAGGGACCAGCAGAAGTAATGCCTGCTTGAGTGTGGTTGGTAGGGTAATAATATGGGTGTAATAATTTACAGTTTTAACTTGAACATTTCATCTAAAATGTCCTGTGGTGTGCTTCAGTGTGTATGTTACAGAATTACATGCTTATGATATTATAATAAAATATTTTGTAGTAAAAAGGGGGTGTTATTTGTGCTGGACCCTTTATTTGGAAAAATAACAATGTAAAATTCAATGATACAGAGGGCATGATAGATTTATTTATAAAATGCTGCGGGAACACAACAGAAGAAGTAATCAATAACTTGGAGGGGAGGGAGAGGAGAAAGGAAGGAAACTGTGGAGCATCGCAGAGGTTCTCTGTGGTATCATCCGCGAGTTCAAACTTGAAGGATGAATTTCAGTAGACTGAAGGGGTGGCTTACTGAGACATTTGCAAAAGCAACAGAGATATGAAGCTCCTAGGACAATGTCTAGCAAGAGGTAAATGATCAAAATA